CCACCATCTTACCTAAGTCTGTCGCCATAACAAAAATGTTAACAGTATTGTTGTGTTCCGGCAGTTAGAAGTAAGATAGCCAGTTCCTCCGTGGTTGAGGATTCCGGGTGAAGCTCGCTTCCACCTTCGGCCTCATCGTCACTTACCGTCAGGTGAGATACATCCCAAGAGCTTCCTCGTTGTACCTAGATAAAAAAAACTTAATTATTGGCTTACATTACTACGCTAAACGTAATTTTACACTGTTTGTTACGTAGCTAGACTTACCGTATTCACAAACGATGCTTGCTTGAGTGAAGCAGCAAATCGAACGCACAGCGTTGAATAGATTGTGTGTGGTTTGTTCGTGTGTGACCCTGTGATTGGTTCGTGTGTGACCCTGTGCGACCACGTGCACAGTGAGACCTCATAGTACCTAATGTTTGTGAATATGGGCGTAAATGATATGATATGATGCTTAGGGAAATATTTTTCCTAAACACTGCTAAACGTAGCCTAGCTAGCGTAAATAAATAAGGTAGGTTAGGTTAGGTAGGTTCCAAACTAGTGAGCAATTCAAAAACATCGCCTTTTTAATTGCAATGGAAACTACTTCATCATCATCATCATTTCAGCCATAGGACGTCCACTGCTGAACATAGGAAACTATTATTAGCGTAAGGTGAAAGGCCTGTTGTTCAGGTTCAAGTTTTGGACAGGTTGTTCAGGACAAAGATAGGAATAACAAAGTGATTAAGCCTTGCAGCAACCATAGGATTCGAAGTAGGAACCTACCATGCATCAATTTAGATACTAGTCACCGAACCAAGGTAGAGAAGAATGAACCACATTAATTTAAAACATGCATCTTCATAAACCTCAAAGTGCCTATACAAAATCATAATTATAATTTCGTCAGTTTTCAGCGTGCATGTTTTCCTTATATTTTCATCAATAAAGCACTTAATATAAAAAACAAACGAGAACGACTAAACGACGAGGAAAAGCAGTAATCGCCATTGCAGCCGCCCTCTGAAGTGGAAATTGCTCCAAATTTTTCTTATCGCCTGTTCCAAAGTGAAAAAGCAAATCAAGCAAATTCACGTACTGCAAATTGAGTTCAACGGGAGGAGTACAATACTCCCAAGACTCCTGAGAGGATTGCAAATTCGATCTTATTGTGTGGGGTGAAGGATACTGTTGCGTTGAAAGGTCAGTGAGGAGCAGGGTACTTAATTGGGCCGATTTGACGGGACGCAGATGTCAAGCTTTGTCAATAAATGCGATTGTGAACGGTTAGGGTTGCCACGAGTCAAAGTGGAAAATTACAATGGGGAATGTGACTTGAATGAAATTTTCATTAGTTATGTAGGTCCTTTTCGCTATGACGCTGCCAAGATAATTATAGTGAATGGCGGCAGATGGACGGGCCTTCAAGTCATCACCATAGGGATAGCATAATAATATCGGCTGGTAACGTGGTGCTCAGAAGAAGTTAGTGAACATTCTTTGATGATGAAGATGACGCTACCAACCGGCCAATCTGGAAATCATTGGGGGAGGCCTTTCATGTTCAGCAGTGGACATCCTTTGGCTGAAATGATGATGGTGACGATCTTTTCAAAATTTGTTCAGTAAGTTCATTGATAGATAATATACGCATTGATACTCTTTATTGCATACCACACGAAATTGACAATGAAAGAAATATGAAATTGAAACTACATAATAGGCGGTCTTTTCGCTAGAAAGCGATCTCTGCCAGACAACCCAGGGTGTTATGATAGTTTATAGTACAGGCTGATTACTTAATTTATTAATCTGTGCAAGTTATGGTAAAATTACTACCTCTTGTATCGGCTAACATTGTCATTATTTCCAAGAAAAAGTTGTCAGAGACTTGAGTTTCCTACGTTGCTTATTCTCAACTATTATAAAATGCTCCTGAAGTAGTCGTGAGAAAAAGTTTTATTACCTTGTTAGGTAGGGTAATGTTACTTTATTTTGCTTGAGATGCGCTCACTTAAACTTACAAAGAAATAACTTCTTTTATTCAACACTTTTGTAACTGGCTACTAGACATTAAACAATACAGAATGAGCTGAACCGAAATTGATATACCAAAGGCGTTTTTTATTGAGTTTAGCAGAAATTAAAGGACGTTTCTGCTACTAGCATTTGCACGCTTTTCATTCCCTTTTAAGGAGTGAGTATTTGAAAATCTTTTCTTATTGGATGCTACTTAGTACGTCATAGTTATCTACGTGTATTTGCTTGCTACAGAACAATCCATTTAGAAGTGTGAGATGTGTTGATAGATCAGCCAGTCCGGCGTTTTCCTTTAAGGCCCGTTTCCACCAAAGAAGTAAGGAGAGTCGACCAGAGGAGAATTTGACAAGATTAAGTTACTTTCCACATAATTATCTTCATTCAGTTTCGGTTCAGAAATCTGATAGGTTATTTAAAACACTTCTTCTTATCTCCTCTTCTCCCCGCCTTGGTGGAAATCGGGCCTTCGTTCGTTCGTTTCAGCCGAAAGACGTCCACTGCTGGACAAAGGCCTCCCCCAAGGATTTCCACAAAGACCGGTTCTGCGCCACTCGCATCCAGGCATCTCCCGCGACCATCACCAGATCGTCGGTCCGCCTAGTGGGAGGCCTGCCCACGCTACGTCTTCCAATATATTCCATTACATATTATCCAAATTTCTGTCTCTAGGCTAGGATTTACTTAGGTAATTTACCTTTAATCTTCTAAACAATGAAGAGGCAGCCATACCAATGAGTCACTCCGTCAAACAGTAGGTTTAATGGGTACCTATTGTTTTCAAACGATGAATTGATTCGTCGCTTCATACTGAATACCGTTCTCACGTTGAAAAGCTTTTGTTTTATTCGCTGGCAATGCGTGTGGAAATACCGATAACGGTATCAATAACGTTATATTACTGTGTTCGCGGCTAATAACGTTATGAGGCTGAATCGATGCATTATTAGCGTGGATCGGTAGACTTCTTTGGTAATTAGGTAAATTTTTAACTTTATTTCTGGTGAAGGACTCTGTAAGCTTCATTGTTTCTATGTCCCTATATCCCTACTAAATTAACCAATACCTATTTAAATCTTAATTAGATTAGTGTATTCAGAGACATCTTTGATTAATAGAGTTTTCGGGGACAGATACCTATTACAATTAAGGTAAATGTCCCCCTATTTCGCCATATTAATAAGCTTGAGAAGTTGAGACTATGATACAGGAGGATTAAATGTCGTTTTCAAAACACTTAAGTCATCATTATCGGGTCATGTAGTCTGCTCTGCAGGAGCAAGACCTTTTCTAAAACCAGGCAAGTGGAGAATTTGCTACAAATTGTTGGCCTGATGTTCGAATGTTTGTCTCTTAGCCACCTTATAGGACATCCACAAGATCCGCTGAAACCACTGTACAGTCAGCGTCAAATATTTCGTAAAAAGTGGCAAAAAAGTTGAAAATTCAACCTAAGTAATTCCAACAAAATTGTAGTAAAATAACTACGTGTTGCGTATTTATAAGTTACTTTGGACGCGCACGAACTATTTGACGCTGACTGTACGTGTACCTATAGCATTATTGCTATAGGTGGCGCATGTAATAAGAATATATCATTATTAATTAGTAATTAAATGCTAATTTGGCTGAGTCTTGTATGAAAGCTCCTTACATTGTATTTAATAACGCCTACGTAAATAACAAAAGCAAATTCGACAAGCTGTTTGTTTAGAACGAACATTATTTGGGAACTCTCAGCTAATAAGGTTTAATTAGGATAATCATTAAATAAGCGTTAATTAACGAGAAATTGTTATTATCTTCTCAGATTCTATGAATAGAGAAGAGCTTTATTGTTATTTACTAAAAATACACAGATGCGGAATTGTGTGAATCGACTACTTATTTATTAATATTGTATTTTAATTATTGCGTTCAAAAACATCTTCATTTATGATAATACAATTAATATTGTTACCAAACCGTAGAGTCCCAAAGTGGTGGTAGGGCAAGCTAATGTAGGGCCTGTATAGGCAGGTGTAGATACATGCCATATGCCATGTAAAAGGGATCTACATACTAATAATGAATTAGCATTCGAATTAATTAATTTTCTGCTCAAATTAAGTACACAGTTACCAACCACGTGCTTACGATATGAACTCGCATCAATATCGCATAATTAATATTACTACTGCGCTGACCTGGTTTAGTCCGGATCATTATTTAACTAGCTTTAGCAGATAACTATGTAAATTAATATAGCTACGACATATAACCATTTATCCTATTCTACTTTAAATATTATCACGATGGAATGATGTGGTATCAAGTATGTTACTACTTTGTTACGCAAAACGGGTTAAATGGTTTAATGAGGCATTGAAACTGTGCGTATTAAAAAATACTCTGTGCACTTTGAGTCGGGCTGAGAATTATTTGAACTTCGCAATTAAAAGGCTCTAAAGAAGTCAAAACCCGGCATCAAACCTTAGACGTTGTTGCTGGGACGTCTAATTACGAGCTAGAAGTCGGTTCCATTACGAATGTATGAACCGGGACGTGGCTTGCAAGCACTCACGAGCCATCCTTCCTTGCCAGGACCGACCAGTTCTACAAGACCCCTTATACAGCCTTTGTACGCTTTTAAAACTTCCCGCTCTAACCAGCACCACGGCTCCACCAACGCCGGCCGAAGATGCCCCCAGCTCTTTTCCTCCAGTCGTCCGCAAAAAGTCGAAACGTGTGGGACTGCAAAGGAACCCGTTTCTCCATACAAGGCTCTGTACGAGAAGTCGCATCCCAACGCACCACCATAATATTGTTAGCTGCCGCCGATAGCTTTTTATGTCGAATGCATTATTCGATACTCATTTAAAATTCTAACATACGCTTATAAAGAAAGCTCGCCATTTTCATGCGGTCCCCTGCTGTCGCCGGTCGTCTCGTGTTAAAAACGGACGTATTTATCTGTGCTTTATTATCTTTAGATTACGCAAATTCGTTTTGGGTGCCGGCTGCTGCGCCCACGCGCCAAAAATCGCGGGGGCGATCGGAGGCTCCGGCGCGTGCTCAAATGAGTGTGCGCACCGGCTGACGCACACGCGTATAAAAACCTCTTTGCTGACGAAAAAAAGAAATAAAATTAAAAACCAAACCGTGTTCCTTTTTCAAAAGTGACAGTGCCCGGTTCTTGACGGAAGTCGGACTTTTCAGTTCCAGCCAGTGCGTCCGATGACTTAACGATTCTGTGGTCGATTTAGTTTATGAATGGAGTGGAATAGGAAGTGACGTCATGCATAGTGTTGTGACTGTGTCAGCTTTGGTTCGGTGGGCGACGATTTGATGACAATGTGCGATCATTAGACCGAAAAGGTGAGTGGGAATGGCTGATGACTATCTCATTAGAGTATGGCTACCTACATGTGTACTTGAATGCTACTAAAACAAAGCGACTATGAATAGTAGCTAAATAGCTACTGTATAATTTAGAAACACGCGTAGAAGTGTGTATCCAAAACACAGCTGCAAACTTTGCAGTCACAGCTGCTAAATAACTAATGTGAAACTATCTCGGTTCTTCTGCTAAAAAGCTTTACTTCGTCTAACTTTAAGACACTTGTGATTCCGGGAGCAAAACTCCTTTAGGACCAGAGACAATATTCTTGGGAGTAACAAACAGGAAATTGTAACTAACTAGTTTATAATTATGGGAATAAAGTTTATAAATAGACATTAATTCAATATAATTTAAACATTCCCTTAAGTAGGTTGAAGTTCCTCAATTAGTTAAGAACTTTTTAATTTTCTTCCTGAACTTTAATATACCTACTATCTAAGTCCAGAAAACTTTAAGCTCTGACTATAATTTAAAGAATAAAAATGCTGAATTACTTTGACTTAAAATTGAAGATAATTAAATACTTTTTTATAACAATATGTTACCCGGTTCCCGCAAAAGAATCCAAAAGTAAATAAATTCGCACTTACTCGTACATTTTAATAAGTGCCTGCATTACTTTAGCGACTTATTATCAAAATAAACTTTATCTCAATACGATAAAAGGTTTTGGAAATGTTATTTTTCCATAACATAAAACCAGTTTAGTGCATATGAAACCATTCCCGCCGCAGCGTGGGTGAAATAATAGACCGTACGTAGCGACATTTCGAAACGGAGATACAACAATAATTATGCACTCTACAAACATCATTAGTCACCTCTAAAGTGATAAAGATAAGACCTAATATTGAATAGCGATTGTTATCGCCACTTGTAATGGTTAACTTTGCATTCGAACGTCTGCAGAGGGCCTCAATTCTGGTGATTCTGATTAATCTTTTACCAATAAACCTGTCCTGCTCAAACGCGTTGGAAACTGCTATGCAAGACTGAGGTGGTGGATTTTCGAATATGTATTGTGTCGACAGAACTAGTAGGAGACCGGTGGGATTTGAATGAACTTAGCATACAATGAGGCGAGAGCATTGATGCGCAGAAGATGCTGTAACACCAACGCAGTAATGGATATAAGTAGTCGATATGAATTGTAATTAATAGACTCGAATTTTTTCCAATATGACTTCTGTGTAATATCCCAGGTATCAGCATCTAGTAAACATTATACAAAATTCTTTAGGAGACATTATTTATGCAATGTAAAGTATTTAATGAATGGTAGAGATTTATCTCCTTTCCTTTGAGTTCTAGCAAAGATGTGGCACTTCAGAGAGACCTCACGCAGACTTCTTGAGATAACTTGAAGTGACGTGGCACAGTTTTGCTTCATTTGCCTTTAACTACTCATTTGAAAATGAAACAAAACTACCTAACATGACGCTTTCTTTATTTTCCCGCCAAGAAGTCCTGACCACAGATTAGAAATAAGACTGACCACAGATTAGAGCGTGTGGTCCTGACTTTATTTAATTTGTGAATGGGTGACCTAGTAAATTGAGTTCATTCAATCGAATTGTCGATATCGATGTGAGTTATTGCCGCACTAGCTGTGCAAATGCAAAAGATTGACATAGTTGATTGATTGCATTGCCGCTATATGTAATCGTTCGCTTAATCTCGCACTCGAATTTCACTCGTTCGATTCAGGGATTGGGACTTGATTGAAATTATGATTTTAATTTAGACTTCAATCAAATATTAAGTAACTACTTACATACTCTAAAATATACTATGTAATATCAAAGTTGATATCAAGTGCAAGGAAGAATAACGGCTCAACTTGATGGTTCTTATTATATTCCACGGTTTTACGGTTTGAGTCCAGGGATAAAGGAGTGCTGAGTACCTATGATACTTAAAGTTAGGGGTTTTGATATGAATATAAATAAAGTTCATGTTATTTTTAATTAATTTATCTATGAAAAAATAGAGTGCCTTACCGTAAATTCTTGATCCCATCAAAAACAATACTTGTCAAAAAAACCAAGTCTCGCAACTCAGTTGTTCTACGGTAAAAAGTTGTGAGATCCATGTAATACGAAGTCCAGGCCAGGAAATCTTTAACGTTTTACATAAATACAGTGTGTCCGGGCATGTAGTGATCAAACTTTAAGGGCGTAATCTATGGACAATTTTATCGGTTGAAATACTTTAAATTTGGTGCTTGACCCATTTCTCGCATATTTACAAGGATTTAAGTTTTTAATTTTAAGTTTTCACCTCTTCCTTCAAAAACAAGTGATAGCGTGGGTAGTTTAACATTAATAAGCAAAAATTTTATATCATGCGATAGCCAATAAAATTATCTATTAGTAGAAGTAGAAAACAGATACAAGTTTCATACATTTTAAGGGTGTAAGAATGGATTTAATTAGAAATAAACATGATTTTTTTCACATCTTTTTCAGTTATTTCCCAACACAAGAAAAACCAGGTCGTAAAGGTATGTTTTATTTGCATTGTATTATTAGTATTTGAGCTATTCTACAAAACGAATGTAAATTTATTAGTCTACGTCTATTAGTTTTGACGTAATTGTTGAACAAAGATACCCCTTCCCAGCGGTTTCCATAGCGCACGCGACATGCGAAAATGCACTGCCTGAAAGAATCACACAACCTATTCCGATTACTATGGAAACCGCTGGGAATGGGTATCTCTGTTCAACAATTACGTCGAAACTAATAGACGTAGACTAATAAATTTACATTCGTTTTGTAGAATGTAGACAGCAGTTACGTATCTAGAAAATTGAAAAATTTTACTCGACTTGGCGGTTGCACTACCGTGCCCCCAAATCTCATTTCTTTTTGTATTTTGTAGACAGTAGTTATGTATCTAGAAAACTGGACCGAAATTGAAAAATTTTACTCGACTTGGCGGTTGCACTACCGTGCCCCCAAATATTTTAGTTTTTCCTTGATTCATACACCAAACACTGCTTATATTCCAAATTTGAAGCTTCTAGGTCTGCTAGAAGTGCCTTAGAATTTTGATGATCGGTGAGTCAGTGAGTCAGTGAGTCAGTGAGTCAGTCAGTGAGTGACAAAATTAAGTAACTTTGACCCGTTATAATTCTTAAACTACTGGTTCAAATTGAATGAAATTTTAAATATACCGTGTCTTTACCATGCCTGCATAGCTAATGAAAATTCAGCCTTCTAGTTTTATCCACAACAAAGTTACAGGCAGTCGAAAATGGCCTGAATTGCTTCGAGAAAAGGATGGTACGGCCGTGCCGCTTTTTTGCTCGACTTGGTGGGGGCACTGCCGTGCCCCCAGATAACATCGCCAAACACTGTAAACTTAGAAGTGCTTTTTCATCACACAGTGATTCTCTTGAAAATTAGTCTTAACGCAAAAACCATCCATATTGTTCTTTTACCACAGGATTCGCGTTAAAACAGTCTATTAACCGGACAACATTTCTGGAACCACACAACAATATTAACCCTGTTTGCAAATTCGCGTTCGTTTATTTAGCTTTTAACAGTTCCGGACACCGGAGTCCGGAGTCCGGACACTCCGGACATCGGCCGGACGGGGTGAAATATCGCGCGCAGTTTGTCTTTGGTCGGGTTCACCTATTTATGGTGCGCAGCTGAGCGCGGCTGTGCCAGCGAATATGAAAAATAGTTCACATTAGAGTTTGGTAGAGGTGTTTTTATAAATTGTACTAGCTTTCCGCCCGCGGCTTCGCCCGCGTGGAATTTTGTCTGTCACAGAAAAACTTTATCGCGCGCGTCCCTGTTTCAAAAACCGGGATAAAAACTATCCTATGTTCTTTCCCGGGACTCAAACTATCTCTATGCCAAATTTCATCAAAATCGGTTGCGAGGTTTAAGCGGGAAAGCGTAACAGACAGACAGACAGACAGACAGACAGAGTTACTTTCGCATTTATAATATTAGTTGGGATTAGTTGGGATGATTTGGAAACTAAGTAATTGTAAATTATAAATAATTTGATGAAATCGAACTGCCTAAGGCGGGAATTGAATGCTCTTCCATCTGAGCTACTTAGATACTGGATGAGAAATTTCGAAGTGTAATACGCTGTTACGGCCAGCGTTTATCTATGCTAATCCCAACTATGGGAAGTTGATCCTTAATTTCGAACTCTTTCTATGTTCTTCTGATTAATTTCGCTGAGGGTCCAATGACAGTATAATTTACTTTCCCCCAGGACAAACTATGCCTTCAAAGGAGTTCCAGCGCTGGGAATAGTCCCGTAATGTCCTAAATTATAAAACTATAAAAGCGGAGAGTTATGTCAATTAAAGTATTTGCTACGTTTTAGCTCTACCAACTATTATTTATTCTGTGGCTCTACTATCGCACTTATCCAACTGTTATGAACTTTGATGTAGAAATAGGTTGCACATTGAAAAAGGGCATAGGTAGGTAGGTACCATTGAAGTAATATAGGTACCTTTGTCGCCAAAAACTTGAATAAGTAAAAAGGAGTTTGTCTAAGCTGCTAAACCAATTTTGATAGATTCAATACGCTTTATGAAATGAGGAACCTGCCTATTTATTCATCGAAGTTTATACAACTTATTAGCTAGTAGCTTATTCGGCGACCTTCGTATCATTTACGTTCATCATAAATAATGTAGGATTGTAATGGTCAAATCGGTCCAGTACAAACAATCAAATCTAAAATATTATTAGTGTAGGTACATATCTGTGTCGAGAGCGTGCGCTAGAAACTTTCAGCAACAAAATGGAATGGGTCTGCTCACACACACTCACAAGCTCTTAGTCCATCATATTAAAGACGGAACCAGTAACAAAATTAATAATCCATACCATCAAAAGCTAACACGAGTTAGTTCTGCACGAACAATCTCGGAGTTTAACTAATGCTGGACTGCGGGTCCGGTTAGTGGCTAAGTTACTAACTTGTGGGTATA